TTCCTGTGACCCACCCTCCCTGCTCACCAGTAATGTCCTCCAATTCACTTTCTGCAGCTAACCAGACACAAAGAAGCAGATCTAACACAGCAGCCCCCATTCAGCCCCTCAGCACAGCACAGCATCCTAGCCAGTCAGGGCATTGTGCATCATACCATCCAATGCAACACCCTCCTGCTATTATTATGGGTTCACATAGAGGAACTCACATAGAGGAACACAATGAGGATCAGGCATGTATAAAATGTCTGCACTGCCATTAAAACCTGCAGAGACATCAGGCCATACAATACGGGCTAAAGGATGTTGGACGGTTCAGTGTTTCTTGGTCTTTTATTAGCACCCATCTTGCTTGCTGCAGCACAAACCCTAGCTGATTGATACGAGGACATGTAATAGGACAATGAGCCTCTTAAGGGGACATCTCTCATGATCATGTTTCATGCAATATCCAAAATTCTGGTGTGCCCTTATATTGTACCACAGCCATTAAATCAGGATTCTAAGGCGTCCTTGCATTGTGCCACAGCCGTCAAATTAGGAATCTGGTGTGCCCTTAAATTGTGCCACAGCCATCAAATCATGATTCTAGGGTGACCATAAATTGTGCCAGCCATCAAATCAGGATTCTAGGGTGACCTTAAATCATGCCAGCCATCAAATCATCATGTGCCATGTAAGCAGCATCAGTAAAATGGGTAAACACTTGTACCAGTCATGTTATGGATTCGTTGCATCCTCTCCATCATGATAACACACCCCTGTACTGTCATTGTACATGCTCCAAGCGGTGCCCTATATTCCATCCAGCCAGTAGGCACCCCAATCCCTGCACTGCTCTTCCTGTGGCCCCTCCTACCAGCACCCTGCCCTGCTCCTCCACATTACCTGCTGTATTGCACCATCTAATCAGATGCACCCCCCCATTTAACATGATCCCATTTGTGCTATTAACCCCAACGTACTGCAGACACTGCTGCACATTGCATCGTGATGAAGGCTTTTCTGCAACGTAATGCCCCCAATCCTGCCCCTCCATCCGATGCCTAGTACACCCCGATTATGCACCATAATGCAGTGTCCATACACGTGCACGCTCCCTCATAGAAATCCCCCAGTACAGTGACATGGACCAGCACTGCACCTGGCCCTCCAGCCTCGGTGCCAGGCACCAACTTACCAGTCTATGGAGTTCTGTTCCTGGATGACATCCTGATAGGCAGCCAGCAGCTCCAGACGGTGGGTTTTGAAGCTAAGAGAGGCCATGCCGGCTGCAGGCTGACTGTGTGCCGGGGGATGGAGAGACAAGGCAGAGGACTGGGATGAGAAGGAGAGAGATGGAGGGGGCTGTGACTGCAGCCGGGGAGGGGCGGGGGAGGAGCTGCGGGGTCCTTGTGCAGACACTTTACCACAGCCCAGGATCACTCTGCTTCATACTATCCTATCCTGTGGGAGGACATACATTAATGTATACACAGGCATATATGTATACAGAGGTATATATGTGGATACAAAGGTATTTATATATACACAGGTATGTATGTGGATATAGAGGTATATCTGTAGATACAGAGGTATATATGTGGATACAGAGGTATATATGTATACACAGGTATGTATGTGGATACAGAGGTATACACACTATATTGCCAAAAGTATTGGGACCCCCCTCCAAATCATTGGATTCAGGTGTTCCAATCACCTCCATGGCCACAGGTGTATAAAATCAAGCTCCTAGGCATGCAGACTGATTCTACAAACATTTGTGAAAGAATGAGTCGCTCTCAGTGAATTCAAATGTGGTACCGTGATATTTTCCCACCTGAGCAATAATTCCATCCGTGAAATGTCCTTGCTACTAAATATTCCACGGTCAACTGTTACTGGTATTATAACAAAGTGGAAGCAACTGGGAGCAGCAACTCAGCCACGAAGTGGTAGGCCACGTAAAATGACAGAGCAGGGTCAGCGCATACTTAAGAGCACAGTGTGCAGAAGTTGCCAACTGTCTGCAGAGTCAATAGCTACAGACCTCCAAACTTTGTGTGGCCTTCAGATTGGCACAACAACAGTATGTAGAGAGCTTCATGGAATGGGTTTCCATTGCCGAGCAGCTGCATCCCAGCTTTAAATCACCGAGTGCAATGCAAAAGCGTCGGATGCAGTGGTGTAAAGCACACCGCCACTGGACTCTAGAGAAGTGGAGACGTGTTCTCTGGAGTGGCGAATCACGCTTCTCTGTCTGGTAATCCGATGGACGTGTCTGGGTTTGGCGGTTGCCAGGAGAACGGTACTTGCCTAACTGCATTGTGCCAAGTGTAAAGTTTTGTGGAGGGGGGATTATGGTGTGGGGTTGTTTTTCAGGGGTTGGGCTTGGCCCCTTACTTCCAGTGAAGGAAACTCTTAAGGCACCAGCATACCAAGACATTTTGGACAATTTCATGCTCCCAACTTTGTGGGAACAGTTTGGGGATGGCCCCT